GTATATTTGTTCAAATGACAAATAACGGAAACTGATTTGTCGCGGTAACTGTTTGATTTGTCCCCCGCGGACAATTATCAAACAGCAAATGTTTATTTGTTGTGACAACAGAAATCTTCTTCTCAGTGCGTAATTATCACACAGCGAGTCTCACAGGTCTCACTTGCGGACCGACGGACGCGCGCCGCCGAGACTCGCGATCGCGATCGCAAATCGGATCGCGAACGCTCGGCCGCCGCGATCACCTCGTAATGTAAACTGTTGCAATTGGCGCACGACGTCCCAGTTTTCCATGCTTGTGTCCATGTTACGACTCTCCCCCCGGGGCGCGTCTTCTCCTCCGTCGGCACAATGCGCCCGATGCCGCGCGCCTCGTTAACACACGAATGTGTCTGAGGCTTGTTTGAGGGAATTTTATGCCCGACGAGTTCCTCGCTCGTCGTTACATTAATTGCACGCCGCGACGAGAGACAGAGGCAGAAACAGAGAGAGAGGCAGGGAGGGAGAGAGACACGCGCTTAGCGGAATCAGATGTGAAATGCCACGCTGGTTGAGCGTGATATTCGGAGATAGATATACCGAGCTAATGACGAGACGGTGTGTACCCAGAACTGCGTGTCGAATTGGGGAAAGCGCGAAGGAAACCGCACACGATGCGGACGCACTCCGGCGTCGCGCAAGTCGCCGCGCGATTTCCTCACCTGGCCCTCCGCCGACGGAAGCGAAGACATTGTTTCGGCGAACGCAGATTCGTGTAATCGCGTACTCCTGCGCTCTTACCGAGTTGTCACGAGTGATTTAGTTTTCTTTTCTCAAAAACTGATTTACTTAAACAAGATAATGAACGAATACCTTAACCAAAATATTTTCCTTCGTTTTCTACAATTTTTTCCATCTTTCTGACAAGAGACGGATTTCGCGACGATAAAAAGATTCTTCTCTCAAATTGATTCAATTTTCAACAAATTTTCGCACTTGCTACAAGTTATTAGGTCAATCGGAAAGTTCCGTCCGTTTTTTCGCAAAACGTATGGCTTTATTTAAGAAACAAAATGAAAAAGTACATCAATCAAAATATTGTCCATCGTTAGCGATGACTTTCTTCCATCTTTCGGTCAGCAAGCGAATTCCGCGGCGAAAGAATGACTCATCCTTGGAGGCTATCCAGTCAGAGACCCATTTTTCGACGTCTTCATAAGAATTGAAGCATTCGTCAGCGAGTGCGTGTGCCATCGACCGAAACAAGTGGTAGTCGGAAGGGACACAGTCTGCTGAATAAGCCGCATAGGGTAACACTTCCCAACGAAGTGCTTCTAACGTTTCCTTGACTGATTTTGTGACGTGAGGCCGAGCGTTGTCATGAAGCAAAATCACTTTATGCTCTCTCGTTTCATATTCCAGTCGTTTTTCCCGCAATGCTCGGCTCAAACGGATCATTTGTTCTCTGTAGAGATCTCCTGTAACTGTTTGACCACTTTCCAACAGCTCATGGTACAGCATACCCTTCTGATCCCACCAAATACAGAACATTGCCTTCTTTCCGTAGATATTCCGCTTTGGCGTCGATGTTGAGGGTTGGCCGGGATCGCAAACAGTTTCTCGACGTTTGGGGTTGTCAAAATAAATCCATTTTTCATTCCCTCAGTGATGATACGATGTAAAAACCCCTTTCTTTGTTGCCTAGCAAGCAGATTTTCGCCTTTCAATGTCCCTTGGCTTCAGTTCACGTGGGACCCATTTTCCTTCCTTGTAAACCTTTCCTAAGGCTTTCAAACGGTCGGCAATGACAGATCAAGCACAATTTAATGCTTCTGCAAGTTGCTTTTACGTTTAACATGGGTCTTCGTCCACCAATGCCTGCAATTCTTCGTCTTCGAATACTCCTGGCCGTCCAGAACGCTCTTTGTTCTCTACATCAAAATTATCACTCTTAAAGTGTCGAAACCATTCCGCGCATGTTTTATCGGAAGGAGCATTATCACCATAAACTTCTACAAGCATTCGATGAGCTTCAGCTGCAGTTTTCTTCCAATTGAAGTAAAAGATTGACACTTCGCGCAAATGACACTTATTTGGCTCAAATTTCGACATTTTGGATGCAGTAAAAAACAATATTAACGATGCAAACGTATACCTTTATGTACTGAATGTTATTGACAAATGTCAAAACAAACCATGAAGCTTCGTTTAAACATTAGAGGTTAACGACAGTTCTGTCTATAGCTACTTGCCGCTAGATGGATGGAACTTTCCGATTTACGTAATAGGAAACTGTGTATCCTCTGACAATCGGATGGAGCAATGTCTGGAGGATACGCAAGATGCGGTAAGACTTCCCAGCTCTATTAATTCCAGCTCTAATAGCGTTTGCTTCGTGCTTAATAATGCAATATGAGGACGAGCACTGTCGTGAAGAAGAATCACTTTGCTCGCATCTGGTCGTCGTTTTTGCTCCACTGTTCGCTTCAATTTGTATAATTGTCGTCGATAACAATCAACAGTGACAGTTTCATTTGGATTTAACGGTTCATAGTACACAACATCTTCTTGATCCCACCAAGTACACAGCGCGATATTCGCAATTCAAATATCTTTAAATCGTGAATATCGCGCTTTGATGTTGCTGGCTGGCCTGGATCAACTCATGATTTTTCTCGTTTGGGATTATCGAAATAGATCCATTTTTCATTCCCAGTAACAATTCGTTACAAAAAACTCTTCATTTTTTGTCCGGCGATCAACGGGATGCAAATATTCAATCGGTTCGCAATGGCACCTTCCGATAATTCATGCGGAAGCCATTTTTCTTCTTTGTACATCTTTTCCATATCATGTAAACGTTTAGTAACTGTTGTACGATCAACATTTAATGCTCCGGCAAGTTTTGAAGTGGTGTGCTGGATTTTCTTCCAACAATGCTTGCAAATCTGCATTCTCAAGCATTTTTAGTTATCTCTAGCAATCTTTGTCGTTAACATTGAAATCACTACTTTTGAATCGTCTAAACCAATATTCACACGTCTTAATTGATGGAGCAACATCCATGGAGCGCAAGTTTCTGTCAGAACTCTACGTCTTGCAGCCGCCGTGCGGTTTTCTTCTGATTAAAAAACAGAAGCAACGCATGCTCGAAAATGCTCTTTAGGAAGCTCCATTTTCAGTTGGTATTAACACGATTTTTCACTGCGTCTATGTGTGCGTAAATGACTAAATATCATGGATTAATATTAAATCATTAAGAAACAACAGCTGTGATTAGAATGTCTTCTCTTTAGATTGCCATCTCTTGCAAAATCTCAAAACTAAATCACACTCCTAATAAAATACAAAATAGCTCGGCGGTGCTAGTCCTGCTGTGAGGAGGGAGGGATGAGGGAGGAGAGCCGAGAGAGACTCGTCCGACCTTTCCGAGTCCGTATGTGAGCGCCTCTCCGTGCGTATTCGACGGCCAACAATGTTCCATTGGCTAACAGTATCCCAGCGTGTTTTCGGTCACGCTTTTTGCCAGCATATTTTCGAGCATATTAACATACGGTACCTGCCGTTACAGAGGCATCGACACCGTTCGATTTGTATCCACCGCGCGAACGGCAACTTTCGCGTTTCGGTCGGGACGCGTTCGTACGGTTGACGAGAGGAAGAGGAAAAGACTCTGCCGCAGTGTCGCGCGGCGATCTTGTTAATGTTAATTAATCACTCGGCGAGAAGTTCATGACCAGGTCGCCGATGCTCAGCAGAGGACATCGCGAGATGAAAGGGACGTGAAAGAATGGAGGATTTGGACGAATCGCTCATGTTAACGGTGTCGCTTAATGGTCTTGCATCGCGGGCGATCTCTTGCTGCTTGATGAGCGACAGATCATGGAAATTAAAAGTGACGGATATAACTTCATTATTCGCGGCAGAGGCTTCTACCTCCTCGGACCCAAAGGGGTACGGGTAGTCGGAGGAAGAGGAGGAGGGAGGGAGGAAAAGGTCAATACGTGAGTTTCATGCCGAGTTTATCTGCATTTCGCCGACGGTTGCGGGCTTCGAGGACACAGGACTCACAGAGGCGTCTTTCTCAAGGCCGGAGTGGTTCCTCTCTGTGATTCTATGGAATCTCGAGCATCGTAAACCGTATTCGATTGGCATTCCGTGAAAGGTCGCAACGGCCAACGACATTTGCGGAATTCCTAATACACCCCTCGCGAGCGCGCTCCTACTACATCCTGCCGGGTGGCATAAAGAGTGTGACGTCGAGAGGGCGGCAGGGAGGCGGGGCGGAGGGCGCCCGAGGCGCGCTGGAACTCGTCATTCATTGTAATTCCAGAAAGACCGGAGCTTCCAGTGGAAGCGTGCCACGTTCGCCGAGAGAAAATAAGTTGAGAGACGATAGGAAAGGTCAGGGAAGAGCGACGAAGAGGAAGAAAGAAGGAGAGAAAGAAGGAAGAGAGAAAAGAGGTGAAGAGTCCCTCTTGTCACGTCTGATGCGACTCACGCTGAAATCTTCGGTCGGTTTTCCGTCTGACGGAAGAGCCGCAGTACTTGACGAAACGCGCGCGCGACTAGAGGAAAGGGCACGCATGTGTCGAGAATTGCCAGTTGTCGTTCAGCTGCATCAGCCGGAAGTTCAAAGTTCCTCCGGCATGCTCGCGCGCTGCTCTCTCTCTCTCTCTCTCTCTCTCTCTCTCTCTCTCTCTCTACCTCTCTCTTTTTCTCTCAGCTACTTTATAGGTAAATTGAAAAAGTTTGTCGCCCGAACGGGGCTGTACCTGCATGTGTCCGATGCAGCGAGATAACAAGCGTCCCGCTCACGGCGATATGTCGGCGATTAATCCCACCGTTTCGCTTCTCGGTACCTGCCGTGTAGTTTCGTTACTCACTCGTGCCATCTTTCGAACTGGGCTGCTCTCCATAGCCGTCGTGGCAATGGTTACGCGCATCGACGATGCGCACGATAAGCAGCCATCTCCACAAGGTCGCTCTTTCCAGACACGTTGTTTCGTTTCTGTCTTCAGGGTGTTAGGAGCGAGGCACCGTTGGACAGCAGCGCGCTACCCTTGGAACACAGATCGGTGTACGGTGCACCGGCTCAATATGGCCCACCGGTCGCCCACGAAGAGAACTGGCCGCTGGCGTCGCCCGACACCCCGCAGATCAAGAATCTGCAGGTGCAGTGCGAAAAGACGCACATGCGGGTGAACATCGAGTTCGATCGGCCGTTCTACGGCATGATCTTCAGCAAGGGCTACTACTCGGACCCGCACTGCGTGCACCTGAAACCCGGCACCGGCCACTTGAGCGCGACCTTCGAAATCTACCTCAACACGTGCGGCATGAGCTCGTCGGCGAATCACAATGTGGCGGCGTACGGCTCACCGTCGCCGTCCGGCAGCTATGTGGAGAACACGATAATCGTGCAGTACGATCCCTACGTGCAGGAAGTGTGGGACCAGGCGAGGAGGTTACGCTGCACCTGGTACGACTTCTACGAGAAGGCCGTGACCTTCAGGCCGTTCCAGGTCGACATGCTGCACGCCGTCACCGCCAACTTCCTCGGCGACAATCTGCAGTGCTGGATGCAGATACAGGTGGGCAAGGGCCCATGGGCCAGCGAGGTGTCCGGCATCGTCAAGATCGGCCAGACTATGACGATGGTATTGGCCATCAAAGATGACGAGAACAAGTTCGACATGCTGGTGAGGAACTGCGTCGCGCACGACGGCAAGAGGGCGCCGATTCAGCTGGTCGATCAGTACGGCTGCGTCGTCAGGCCGAAGATTATGTCCAGGTGGGTGTTTATCCATCATACGTAAAAATTATCAACAGTTACCTTGCAACAAAAATACCTTGTACTTCGCCGTATATCGTTGTAGACGATATAGTGACGATATAAGAACGAACATTTCAGTGCCGTGTAATTTTCGTCGAATCATTTTACCCCTTCCGTGTACAAACAAAGTGCGAATGAATTAATTACCCGAGCAAAAATTGTTAAGGCCATCCTCAAGCATAAGGTCCCAATAAGATTGAAAGTAGGATGTCCTAAAAAGGGATGCTTCAACATTACCATATCAGACTCCAAGATGGATCTTTTAGAGATACCTTAGATTTTACGAAATAAGGCTTGATAGGGAAAACTGATGAGGACCTTAGAATGATTTATTAGGAGTGCCTTAGATTTAATAAATAAGGCTTTGATAGGGAAAGCTAAGAAGAACCTCAGAAGGACTTTTTAGGGATGCTTTGATCAAGTTATGCTCTATCTGATTCTTTTAAAGATTTTTCGATGATACCGTAATTAAAAACAAATCTTATTAGTTTTATTAGTCGCTATATTCATCAGCCTCTTCCAAGGATTTTTCTAGTGTTGTCTTCGTTTTGAAATACAGCAAACTTTAATAAAAACATTAGCAGGATTTTTATCTGTAAAGAATGCTATATTTTATTATAAAGTACTATATTTTAAAAATAAAAAGTCCTCGTTGTGTACTAACCAAGGTTAAATAAAGAAATTACAGTCTAAATTTCTTGGAATAAAAAGAACGAATTTTTATTTAAGCAATAATAAAAATATTTCCTTATAAAGGGTCCTATTAATATATTTCCTTATGAGGGCTCTATTGATATTGCATTATAAGGCCCTCTTAATATTGCCTTATGAGGACATTTGTTACACATTTTGTAGGGCCCTTGTCTTTTTATTCCTACTAGGAATTCCCAATTAATGTTAAGGAAAAATAATCAGGCCCTTACTTATTACTATCATTTACATAATAATTATTAAGAAGCGACGGACACATCATATTTGGTAACACATGTGCAAAATACGTTGGCATGTGTGCGGTTTTCAAAGGGGGAAAGAGAAAAATGTACGAAGAGTCACGTTTCTCCCCGCAGGTTCCAGAAGATCAAGAACTTCGGCCCGAGTGCGTCAGTCGTTAGCTTCGCCTACTTCCAGGCCTTCAAGTTCCCCGATAGCATGAACGTCCACTTCCAGTGCGTGATCCAAGTCTGCCGACACAATTGCCCCGAGCCTAAGTGTGGACATCCTGGACTCGAGTACGGCGCGCCGGCCGGCATCTCGCACGAATATGGCGCACCGGTCTCGCAAGGTCTTGCTTCGGAGTACGGTGCCCCGCCTGTGCCCGAATACGGCGTGCCGCCGGCTTTTCCTGATCCGCGACATCCCAGTGGGCCAGCCGGAGCGTACAGGTGAGAAAGCCTACGAGCACCGACGTATAATTGCCGCTCGAAGAAAGCTCTTCTGTGAAGCGCTCATTAAGGTTCCCACCAGTCACTTCAATCGGGACGCGAAAGAAGATTGTAAAGATCAGACGGTCCGCCTTGAAGAGGCCACTCCGCGTGCTGTCGAAGCTATCATTTTTTTTAGTGTAATTTGCATTATATTTAATTTTAGTCATCTCTACAATCAATCGCACTTGTCTCTTGCAGTGTAAAATATTCCCGCGTAATAATAATAATAATAATGATAATAACAACAATTCTCAGATTTCTCTGCAAAATCAGACGCTCGATTATTATTCAAGTGTGAAACGTAAACGTTATATTATCCGAGCGGACAATTCGAGTCGAAACGGCAAATTCGCGCGGAGATCACTGTGCGCTACGACTGACATGAATTTCTGCCTTCAGCGAGCCAAATCCAGACGTAGTTCCGGCACCGCAGGCGCAAACCTCGTCTTCTTCACCCAGCTCGACGCCGGGCGACGCGACGGCGAGCAGCTCACCTCAGAGTTCTCAGGACAACCTCATTCCCCCGCCTCCTCTGCCCGGCCACCAGTCGGCGTACCAGACCGTCAAGCGAAAAGGAACCGCCGGCACGGAAGAGCTCGAGGGTAACCTGGCCATCCTCGGAGGTCGACCGAGGTCGGTCGAAGGTTTCCCGGCCGAGCTGAGAGGCGCCAGGAGGCGAAGGCACGATGAGCCCCATTCGGAGGATGACGAGAGCGTGAGTGTTCTATAACCTATATTTCGAAGCGCTTCCGCTTCGAACACAATTCACCGTCGATCGGGGTCAAAGCGACACGTCGGATCGAGCGAAGCTTTGAAAGTGACGAAGGTCCTTCCTTGAGAAGCGAACGGCGCATCCCGAGCAAAAAATTATTAGGGCCATCCTCAAGAAGCATAAGGTCCCGATAAGGCTGAAAGTAGGATGCCCTAAAAAGAGATGCCTCGTTATTATTATATCAGGCTCCGAGATGGATCCTTTAGAGATCCTTTAGGCATACTTTAAATTTTATGAAATAATGCTTTGATAAGGGAAACTGATGATGGCCTTAGAAAAATTTTACGAAATAAGGCCTTGATAGGAAAAACTGTGGAAGGGCCTTAAAAGGATTTTTTAGGGACGGCTTAAATCTAACAAATAAGACTTTGATAGGGAGAACTAAGAAGGGCCTTGGAAGAATTTTTTAGAAATGCCTTTTACGAAATAACGCTTTAATATGGAAAACTGATGTGGGCCTTAGAAAGATTTTTTAAGGATACTTTAGACATACAAAATCAAGTTTCGTTATAGAAAATTAATAAGATCCGAAGCGTATAATAAAATATTGTCATAGTTTAGTATTGTTTTAATAGATACGCTCTATCTGGTTCTTTAAAATCTTTTTTAATTACACGGCAATTAAAAACAAATTTTATTAGTTTCATTATTTGTCATATTCATTACTCTGTTCCAAAGATTTTTCTAGTATTACCTTCGTTTTAAAATGCAGCAAATTAAAAAAAGACAATAGCAGGATATTTATGGGATACACATAAAGGATGTTATATTTTATTGTAAAGCATGTTATATATTTTTAAAATAAAAAATTCTTGTTGTACACTAACAAACTTAAAGAAATGAAAAAAGTACAGTTTAAATTTCTTCGAATGAAAAGAACGAATATTTTTGCTCAAACAATAATAAAAATATTTCCTTATAAGGCTCTATTAATATTGCTGTTTATGAGGCCCTTACAATAGATATTGCTGTTTAAGGGCTGGTTAGTATATAAAGTATATTTGTTACACATTTTGTAGAGTCCTCGTCTTTCTATCCCCATTTGGGTCCAATTAATGTTAGAGAAAATTAGTCCCTTGCCAGAGCCCTATTAATTTTCTACTCGGGATGTCAAAGACCATCCCGATTGAGACGGCTCGCCAGGCGCGATCGTTCGCCCGAGTATCGAAGCGTAAAAAATGCTACCTACCTACCTACCTCCTGACAGCAATGTGCAATCTAATTCAGCATGAATGCATTATCAATGACGCGTCCCGCGGTACCGTTCGCCGTGTTCCTGACACGCGCGAATTTCTCGACGGCCTTCGCAACGGTTATCCTCGATTTTCAGAACGTCCATCGCACAGTGACCCTGTTCTCCACCCACGTGTACAAGCGAGCGGCACAGGAGATGACGGACGTGAACACCTCGAGAGTGATCCAAGTGGTGGCGCCGGGCGACGTGAACTTCGCGCTGGGCACTGCCAACTCCACCAACGACAGCACCGTGGTGATACAAAACGCGAGCGTGTCCTCCGACCCGGAGACGATCTGCATGAGCTTGCCGGGCTTCGTGGGCGGCCTGGTGATGCTGCTGCTGGTGGTCGTGGTGGCGTCTCTGGTCGCGGCCTTCCTCTTCGTCAGGGTGCGCGCGGTGGACCGCAAGAACGTGGCGCTCGGCGGCGGGGGCGGCGGTGGCGGCAGCTTCGTGCACCCGGCTTACGCAACGGAGAACTGCAACGTGCCGAATCCCGAGTTCGTCAAGGTTGCCAACTGAGCTGTGCACGGTGCGCAAAATCAAAAAAGGGAAAGGACTCACCGCTAGAGAGCAGTGGAGGAGACGAGACGACTCCTCCCCTCCCCCTACCCCTCTCCTTGGAGGATCGTCGGCCTCGCACGACGGGCATGCTTCGGGACCGCACCTTCGCACTATTTCATCTCCGGAACTCGAGACGCGCGCCGGAGATTCTCCCCCGTCGCGGAACTTGCCGCCGCGTTTCTCTTCCCTCCCGCGACCGCTGTCGTCGCCCGACTCGCGTCTAGCCTAGTCTCGTCAATCACGCTGGCCGAGTCAGCGGAGGCGACGACTAGGTCGACGGTAATGGCGGGCTCGCGACTATTCCGACAAACCGAGCGCGAAACGGGACAAGAGACGCGACGGGGGAGGCTAGATCCCTCGTGGACCTAGCGTGTAAATAAAGAGGCCCAGAAGCGCGCGAGCGATTGCATGCGGAAGCGGAAGCGCGGAGGAGAGGAAGAAAGAAAGGAAGAGAGAGAGAGAGAGAGAGAGAGAGGGAGAGAGAGAGAGAGAGAGAAAGAGAGAGAGAAAGAGGAAGGTCACGGAGAGGAGGAGAAGCCGTCGCGGCGCGCGTTCCACCGCGTCGCCCGCGACCGGCAGGATCTTCCGCGTCGCGGTCGTCCTTGGCCGGTGGAACCGCGCGTCGCATCGAGCAATATCCGCGAGCCGATCCCCCCCACGTCGCATGACGCTTCGTCGTCGTCAGGCACCCCCCAGGTGACGCGACGGCTCGACCGGCCGATCGTCTCGCTATCGGCTCGCCTGCGACAGCGTGAAGGATCGTTCGCGATCGCCAGAGTAGTCTCGGTCTCGGAGGGCATTGTAAATAAGCCGCGGGTAGTAGTCAGACGGCCCTTCAGGACGCCCTCTCATCACGCTATTATTTATACACGCATCGTATACTCGAGCGAGCATTCCTCCTCGTCCTCGTCGTCCACGCAGACGTGTGCTCTCCTCCGTAGCGGCGAATCGTTCCCGCGGAGTCACCGCTCGTCCCGCGACGTCACTCGACGCCGTGCGCCGACGTCGACGACGGCGCCCCGACGGTATGTGTGTGTGTGTGTGTGTGTGTGTGCGCGCGCGCGCGTGTGTGTGTGTATCAATTTCGTTTTCTTAGATCTCTCGAGCGACTCGGCGAGTTGGCACGTTTGCCTCGAAAATTGGACAGCGCGCTCGTTGTCGCCGTCGCCGTCGTCGGAAGCGCAACGCTTGCTCTGCGGAAGTTAAATCCAGGACGGAGGTTCGTCTTCGCTCCAAAGGAGGGAAGCCTCGCCGAGCCGCTTAAGATTCAACGAGAAAACTCTATTTATATTATCTCTCTCCTCTCTTTCTCCCTCTGTCCCTTCTATTCTAACTTACGTCCCACCCCGTGTCTTGATTGATCTAACTTAACTTATTGATCGAAATTCTTGCGATACATTGCCTCCTTCCCCCCCCCCCCCACTTTACTCTTCGCTTAGTACTTAAGGTATATCCTCGAGGAATATTCCCGCCAATTGGGAATATGTTTTACGTATGTGTCTTAAGCACACGCCCACACCTGTACACGCATATACACGTATGCCTACATGTATACATACATACACACACATACACATACACATATACACACGCATACACACACACACACATACATACACATCTCGAAAATACGTTGACACACATTGATACGTACATGTACGTGTAAAGCGTATGTCAGACACACACAAACGCGCGGAAACGCGTCGTGAACGTTATTATACCAGCGCGAGAAATGTATTCGCGAAACATCCATTACGATAATATTAATTAATTGTTTGAGAATTATTTTAATTACATTGATCATTTTTATTTATATAAATTGACGTTGCTCCTTTTCTCTTTCATCACTCTCTCCACACTTATGATGTTCAGGTGCTTGACTTGTTGTTGAAAAGAGGTTTGTATCTGGCGATCATGCTTTTACGTTGTCTCGCAAACTTTCGCACTGTTTGGTACTCTTTGGCTAAATCATGCAGACTGTCATCGGATTCCAATTTCGTGGATAGTTTATCCTGGAACCGGCATCTGCGACGAAGAGATTACCTTCGCGTGACGTTTCATTGGAAATTGTATAAAATCTGCAACGTATCATCCTCTTTTACCTCAACATGTCGTTTTTCCAGTCGCTCGCTTCAATCATGCAAGATGATGCTTCTCTGTTGTAATTTAAAATTGTACCCAATTCTATTCTACGAAAATAGAAGAAAGATGGCTTTAGCGAGAGACTCAATTAGCGACTACAAAATGATATGTACGGTTCTGAAAAAAAGAATGCAATTTTCGTAACTAATACAGTCGCGTGATACCTGATGCTTTTATTTTTGGCGGAAAATCGCAACGAGATGTTCCTTCGATCGATAATTCGCAAGCCGAGAAATTTGTTCAGCTGCATACAGATTATTCTTATGTAAAAGATATCTTCCTCGGGAAAGCTTCTTCTAATGCCCAATCTAGAAGCGTCGATAATTACTTAATTATGACCGCAGTATGACACATATGTATATACCAAGTTTTCCAAAATTAACGGACCCCCCCCCATATCTCAGAATTTATGCATTATAGAGAAAAATGATCCGAACAAAAGTTTTAGGATTCATAAAGTTCTGCTTTTTTGTGACCTCAAATTTGACCTTGACTTCAACCTTGAAGGTCATTTGAAAGTTAACTTGCGTTTTTTAAATGGGAATCCCTATTTTCTATTACACTGCCTTTTTCTATCAATTAATTTGAACAACTGTTGTCTAAAATATTTTTTTATTTGCCTAATATATTTTGAGATATTTAAGGAAAACTTGATAACTTTTCCAATATTTAACTTACGATATCTCTCTAACTATTTGTCGGAAGAAAAAGTGGTACTAGACTTTCTTGCTTTATTTAGTCTCAAGAATATATTGTTACAATAACAACTTGACTTTTGTTAACTTACTGACTTTTGGACATTTCAAAATCATTAAATTAACAAAAATCAGGGCACTATTGTAACAATATATTCTTGAAACTAAATAAAGCAAGAAAGTCTAGTACCACTTTTTCTTCCGACAAATAGTTAGCGAGGTACCGTAAGTTAAATACTGAAAAAGTTATCAAGTTTTCCTTAAATATCTCAAAAAATATTAGGCAAATAAAAAAATGTTTTAGACAAAAGTTGTTCAAATTAGTTGGTAGAAAAAAACAGTATAATAAAAAATAGGGGTTCCTATTTAAAAAACACAAATTAACCTTCAAATAACCTTCAATGTCGAAGTCAAGGTCAAATTTAGGGTTACAAAAAACAGAACTTTAACCCTAAAACTTTTGTTCGGATCATTTTTCCCTATAACACATAGATTCTGAGATAGGGGGTGGGGTGTCCGTTACTTTTGGAAAACTTGGTATAATACTAAACGAAATAAAGCACGCACCTTGAACTTTTTCACATTTGCGTGAATAACGATAATCTCGGCAGGTAGAAAAGAAACGTATTTGGACGAAAAGAAGGTTTCATAGTCTTTAAAATTTTTAAATGTTAAGTAAGGAAATTTCACGAAACATTAAAAATTTAAATCTTCCAATATTCAAATCTGTTACGTTTATTATCATATTTATCTCGGCTAAAATAAAGTACGCACTGAAGGATTTATTTAATTTTATTAGAACATGTAGATTACTTCTCAATGCTATTGGAAATAAGAGGAATTATTAAGGATATAGTAAAGTTTGTATCATTTTTAAGACAATATTTTTTATTAATATTATTATCAATGTATCTTTAATCAAAATATTTTCCGGCATTATCTACTACTTTCTGCCATCTTTTAGGCAAAAGATGGATATCACGATAAAAATGGTTTTTATTTTTAAAATGAATGAATTATCGATGAATTGTTATACTTCTTTAACATTGCGAAATCATGTACCAGAAAGACTGCGCTGTATAGAACGAAATAAGTGAAAATCCAACGAGGCAATATCTGAAAAATATGGCGAGTGTAATAGAAGTTTCCATTGCAACTTTATTAAAGTTTCCCGGGTCGTCAATGCAATATGGAGCTTGACATTGTCGTGCAGAAGAATCACTTTGTTTTTCTTTAGCACAAAATATGGTCGTTTCTCGATCAATTGTTGACTCAACTGCCTCAATTGTCGACTGTATAATTCAGCGGTGATAGTCTGAGATGGTTTTAACAGTTCATAATATAGCATTCCTTGCATATCCCACCAGATGCAGAAGGTTCTTCGGGATTTACCCGCGATCTTTTGCAATTAGGATTGTCATAATAAATCCATTTTTCCTCTCTGGTCACAATTCGATAGAAAAAAGACTTGTGTTTGTATCTATTGAGCAGCGAAAAGCAAACTCAGCTGGCAATAGCTTTCTCGGATAATTCATGGAGAATCCATCTTCCTTCTTTCAGAATTTTTCCCATCTGATGCAAGCATCGAATTATAGTACTCTGATTAACATGTAACCTTTTTGCAAGTTCTACACTCGATTGAGTCAAATCTTCTTGCAGTAACGCTTCAAAGTCATCCGAACTCATCTTTTTGTGCTCGAATACATTTCTTTTCTATCTGCCAAGTTATTTATGCAAACACGAAAATGTTTGAGGTGCGTACTTTATTTTGTCCAGTAATACATATACCGACGATTTGTTGGTAGACCTCAACTGAATAATAATTTATACGCGTAGAGGAAAAGACATCGTATGTTTATCTCAAAGAGCATAATAATAACTAACTTTTGTGCACGCTAAGAAAAATGCGCAATGGTCGCAAATTACTTCTAGGAAGAGAGCACATTGCATAATTAGAATGCTTTGTTCGGATAGAATTTGCTCTACTTTTTTGTCCGACATACCTGCTTCGGGCCTCTTCTTGTCGTTCCCCGACAACAGGTTTCTGCACCTCGGCGACTTTCTTTTTCTCATTTCTCGAGTTGGACGGCGGTATCGGTGTCTTAACATTTCCGGAACTACGAAGTCAACCATGACGCTCCAACGTGACGCACCCATAAACATCGCTACACTGAATGTGCATATTCACGAGAGTGACTCACCTTGCTGCTGATTCGGAGAAGAATTCCATTCGTTCCAGCTGTTCGGCCGATCTTTCCTGCGATTTTCAAAACAGAAACATCGATTGCGCTCGGCAGAAGCCGGCACTTGGTGAGCGTCTAGCGACTATCGTCTGTGTTTGGAGTATACTTTCTGACAGCTTGAGAAAAGTGCACCAATCACGAGAGCAATAATCACGAAGCGCTGACTCCTGCTGGATTCCAGATCGCACCCGAATAAAAAAGCGTTCGTCTTGAAAAGGTACGGTGAAATCAAAATGACAGACAAAGAGATACACGCCGACCGCACACACCTCCCCGAGCAAAAAATTGTTAGGGCCATCCTCATGAAGCATAAGGCCCCGATAAGGCTGAAAGTAGGATGCTCTAAAAATCATTACCACATCAGGCCCCGAGATGGATCTTTTAAGAATACCTTAGATTTTACGAAATAAAGATTTTGATAAGGAAAACTGATGAGGGCCTTAGAGAGACGGATTTAGGGGTGCCTCAGATTTAATAAATAAGGCTTTGATAGGAAAAGCTGAAAAGGACTTTAAAAAGGATTTGTTAGGATTTGTTAGCCTTAAATTTTATGAAATAATTGCGTCAACATGAAATGTTAATGATGTGGGCCTTAGAAGGGTCTTTTAAGAGAGGATGCTTTAAATGTACAGAATCAAGTTTTGTTATAGAAAATCAATTAGATCTGAAGCATGTAATAAAATTGTCATAGTTTAGTCATTGTTTGTCATAGTTTAGTATTGTTTGAGTAGATACGCTCTATCTGGTTCTTTTAAAGATTTTTTAATTATACCGCAATTAAAAACAAATTTTATTAGCTTTATTGGTTGTCATATTTTTTATCAGTCTCTTCCAAGGATTTTTCTAATATTGCCTTTGTTTTGAAATGCAACAAACTTGAATAAAAACAGTAGCAGGATTTTTATGTGTAAAAAATGCTATATTTTATTGTAACGTATGCTAAATTTTTAAAATAGAAAGTCCTTGTTACTAACAAGGTTATAAAGAAATAAAGAAATTACAGTCTAAATTTCTTGGAATGAAAAGAACGAGTATTTTTACTCAAACAATAATAAAAATATTTCCTTGTAATGCCCTAATATTAATATTAATATTGCCTTATAAAGTTATGTTGATATTGCCTTATAAGTCCCTCATAATATTATAAGGACCTTATAAGGACCCGTTGAACTATATTTATTATACGTCTTGTAGGGCCTTTGTCTTTCTATTCTTACTAGGGCTCGATTAACGTCAGGGAAAAATAATCAGGCCCTTATACCAGAGCCCTATTAATTTTTCTACTCGGGTCGGTGGTCTCCTTTCGTTTCTGTGCGGGCAATTTTCGTTTAGTCCGTTGAAACCACCGAAATTATGTTGAAGTAACATTTTGCTTCGAAAGATTCAGCGTAAACAGGAGACAACGTTGCCTCCCTGCGCGCGTCCGCGCCGTAATCCGACGGGGAAAGTTAGGAAGATGAAAGGTCTTAGCTCCGTTCGTTTATTCATGATTGATCGAAAATCTATGCTGCGAGCGGTAAAAGCGGGGCAAACCCCGGCGAACATTCGCACCCACCATATACACGGTCTCAAGTATCGACTCCCTCGGGTTGGCGTTCCAAGTCCAAACGAGGGGCAGGCCCGCGGGGCTGTCCGTAAAAATTCCTCCGATCTGGTTGTACGACAGCCTGCGCAGAAGTAATTGGAGAATCCTGAATGGCCGCACTTCCGCCTCGACAGTAATTAAACATTCTTTTGTAAATTCTTTTCCCGGATACGAACGGACCTGGCCGCGCCGTCCTCGCCGAAAACGACGCCATGCCCCATCGTGTCGAATATCGCCAGGATCTGAGATTCCCTCTCGATTCCCAGCGAGTCCTTGCCTCCTGGCGTCAGCACGGTGTACATATCGTCTTGAAATCGATCGCGGCGATTTATTTAATTCCGCTCCTCGGCCGGCAGCCAATTGTTATTAGGTCTGTTCTTTTCAGCCGAATCAAATTGCACTTTTTACCCTTGGAGCGAGACAAACCCGAGCAGAAATCAAATACGGCAATTTTTTTTTTATGCTTGATATAAGCAGCGAAGGGAGAAAGAACGGAATTCCAGGGCGGTTTAGTTGGAAAAAAACAGACCTCTATTGAATAGTCGTTCTCGTTACGGCACCGGCAAGTTTCGCGTAAGGCCGGATTCTCACTGTCCGGGTAGACGGCGACTGCAGGCAGAAGGCCGTCGATCGTCGGTAAAATATTTCTTGCATGAAAATAATGGAGAGAAAGAGAAAGAGACTCGACGGTGACGGGTGCTGCAAGTATTCTGATGCGAAAGCATCGGAGAATCTTTTTTAACGGAGGGATTCACGGAGTCCTGCCGTCGCTCAGGCGGACAATGAGGATCCAGCGTAAATAGCGCTGTGTGTTAATGCAACTTAATTACAGTCTCGGTTCTCTGGCCGACACACTCTAACGGCCAACACGCCGCTGGGATAAAACAACTCGCCGGAGCCGTCGGGATGGAATTTCAAGAACGGCGTCAGCCCGTCGTCGTAATACTCCGCGCCCTTGTCCCTGCGCGTTTTGAACCTGCATGGCGTAGAAACAGAGAACGGCCCGTTGCACCGAGCGATTAATCGGTAAATAATAAATTCACCGTAACGAGGAGCGCCGTAACGATGTATTATTACGTAGTCCTGTCGCCGTCACGGCAGATTAAAATGCTCGTTTGTGGCGCTGTCTCATTAACTTTGTTCCTCGACCTAATTGTTTACTCGTTAGTAACTAATCATGAAGTTCTGTACGAAGTCGGCTGTGACGTAATTTAGCCACTCTTTGCGGCCTGCTTACTTCGAAATAACCCCTCTCCCCCCCCTCACTCTCTCTCTCTCTCTCTCTCTCTCTCTCTCTCTCTCTCTCTCTCTCCGTCTCTCTCAGAGAGCTCGCTCGCTTAACTCACAGCACGCGCGACCGGATAATTTATTTGACGCGATTACGTTAGGTAATCATCATCTCTGGATTATAAGAGTTGATCCGCTACATCAAGTTAAGTCCGCATTAAAATATCATAACGCGCGTAAGCTCGCGCGTGAGGCGCTTCGACGACGTCGGCTTCAAGTTGATACCCTCTCAAGCGCGATAACGATATCGCCTACTAAGCTCCTTCATTTATCGTTAAGTATACATACGTGCATTTCGCGGTAGATTGAAAATCCCTTCTCCTCTTCTTTCCACTCGCGCCATTAAGATTTCAGAGACAGCGCGATACGAGCAAGTACACTTTACGTGCGGTCGTTCCGCAAACAGTCGCGCTCGGGGGAACGGGTCACGTTGCGAAAGCTCGTTTCACATTTATGCAATGTTCTTTGAACGATATTTATGGAAATCACGTACCAGTCTACGTGCGGCTTCGCCGGCCTCGCCCCGTACCGCACGATTTTCCTCACGGTTTTGGTAATCGGCAATAGGGTCCAACCGAGCTCCACGAAGAGCGCGTCCGATAATTGGTATCTGATCGAATCCGAAGAGTCTGCGAAACGCAGGAATTTCCCGCGGCTAAAAATCTGCTAATGGCGATCGATCGCGCCGTATCGTATCGTATCGTTCTACGCTACGCGCCGCGATAACACGATTTCCACGGTTACAACACGCCGGTTCGCGCGTCGGCGAACGATTTCCCTTAACGAGCCATTTTCTGCTCGTGTCCCATCAGAGCGTGCGCGGATTTCTGCCTCTCTTTGAAGTACCAACTTTAGTTTTACCCATTAAACTGCAGAACAACCGTGCGCGCCAGTCTCTCACTCTCTCTCTCTCTCTCTCTCTCTCCCCCCCCCTCTCTCCGCGTTCTCTTGACCTCGGAAGAGCTCTCGTACCGACGGGATCAGCGGCTGTCCATTTTTTCGTGCAATCGAGATCGTAACCCGCGCCGGCGGTCGCAGCTAGGCGCTTCGCGCCGTCCGCCCGGACTTTTCCCTCTTCAGCGTGAGAATCCGTCGGTTTCTTGCTCGGAAACGCTTCCGCCAGCTCGTCTTTATCTTCTTTCGCTCCGCTCCTATCTCTACGAGCGCTCAGCGGATCTGCCTCCTCCTCACGTCGACCGCGTCGGCGGCGGCCGTCTCCATCTCGCAGTGCCGTGCGCCGTTTCGCCGGCTTCCTCGCCGATATCTCCGCGACGCTCTCCTCCACGTTGCGGTCCAATCGGCCCGGCTGCCTCACGGCGTTATCCGGCGATCGTGTCGCGCGTTCCTCCTCCGCGCGACGTCGTCGATAAGGCTCCCCTCTGCCGCCGCCGACGCGACGCCGCTCGCCGGGGTTTTCCTCCGCGCCCGCCAGTGCACCCCGCCTTCTTCTTCCAGCCGGCGACCGCGATCTGTCCGCTTCTTCTTGCACGTCACGTTGAGCCGGACGGCGATCTTGCCGGTCCTTATCTTCGACCCCGCCTAGTTCGCGCCGATACAGATTATTGTCACGTTCCTCGCGTATTCTTTCTGCCACCGCGCCCGCGCCCGCTTTTTGCACCCCTGCGCCGCTACGTGCTTTACCTGCCGACGCTACGGTTTTTCCGCGTCGAAGCGAACGATCGACATTCGCCCCCTGCGCTGCACCTCCGTGGGCCACGATCTCTCCGCGGCGATCTGTTCCGGCGCCCGACCGGTCCGGAACTCCCGTGGTTCCTCTGATCTCACTCCTATCGCTTTCGCGTCTCTCAAGGTCCTGCGAAGAGGGCGAGGAAAACGGTGAGTTGAGTCAGCCGTCGGGGATGAGCGCGGCTTAACGGTAGAACTACCCTCGACTAGAACGGTTCGTAAATGACCGGTTTAATTCCTCCGAAGAGCTACAGAGATTTGTGGCGGTGCAGTTTGCATCTTTAATCGAAATCTAGTGCAACTGAGAGAGAGAGAGAGAGAGAGAGAGAGAGAGGGAGGAATAGATCGTCATGTTTTCTCCTTCGTGTTATCCTCGTCTTTGAAAAATAATTTTGACCGGAAGTGAGTCGTCGACCGTCAGTACCCAAGTAGACAAATTAATAAAGCTCTGGTGAGAGCCTGATTATTTTTCCCTAACATTAATCGGGCCTCAGCAGTAAGAATAGAAAGACGAGGGCCCTTCAAGATATGTGTAACAAATGGTTTAACGGGTCCTTATAAAGCAATATCAATAAAACTTAATAAGGCAATATCAACAGGGCCGTATAAGGAAATATTTTTATTATTGCGTGAGTAAAAATATTCGTTCTTTTCATTCCAAGAAATTTAGACTGTAATTTCTTTATGACCTCGTTAGTATACAACACGAATTTTTTATTTTAAAAATATAGCATACTTTACAATAAAATATAGCATTCTTTACATACAAAAATGCTGATACGGTTTTTATTAAAGTTTGCTGCATTTCAAAACGAAGGCAATATTAGAAAAATCCTTGGAAAAGACTAATAAATATGGCAACTAATAAAGCTAGTAAAATTTGCTTTTAATTGCGGTATAGTTGAAAAATCTTTAAAAGAACTAGATAGAGCGTATTTACCAAAACAATACTAAACTATGACAATTTTATTACACGCTTCAGATCTTATTAATTTTCTATAACAAAACTTGATTTTGTATATCTAAAGCAACCTCTTAAAAGATCTTCCTAAGGTCCATATCAATTTCCCACGTTAAAGCGTTATCTCCTAAAATCTCATCCCTAAAAGATCCTCCGAAGGCCCTTCTCAGTTTTCCCTATCAAAGACATATTTACTAGATCTAAGGCATCTCTAAAAAATCCTTTTAACGCCCTTCTTAGCTTTCTCTATCAAAGCTTTATTTATTAAATCTAAAGCATCCCTAAAAAATCTTTCTAAGGCCCTTTTCAGCTTCTCCTATCAACGCATAATTTCGTAAAATCTAAGGCATCCCTAAAAAATTCTTCTAAGATCCTTCTCAGCTTTCCCTATCAAAATTTTATTCATTAAATATAAAGCATCCCTAATAAATCCTTCCAAGACCCTCATCAGTTTCCCTTATCAAAGCCTTATTTCATAAAATCTAAAATAATCCTAAAAGATCCATCTCGGGGCCTGATGTGGTAATAATGAGGCATCCCTTTCTAAGGCATCCTACTTTTAGTCTTATCGGGGCTTTATGCTTCGTGAGGATGACCCTAACGATTTTTTATTCGAGTAATTGCGCTGCCACCGAGCACGATTACCTGAGACACGCATAGCTCGATCCATTCGTTTAATAATAAATGGAGACGCCTCGCTCGATCGCGACGTATCAATCCAGCCTGGAACGAATTGTGTAAGCGTGAGGCTTTCCTCCGGGCGTTTCCTCGGTCGCGAGTAATTACGTTGACGATTCACTCCATACCGTGCGCCGCTGCCAGGCTTCGTCGTTGATAACGTTGCCGCAAAAGTCGCGGATTTCCAAACGAGGTCGCGTCTCGCGCGGTCTTCGTCCCCATTCGCGAATAAAATTACTCGCGAGATTTAAGAGAGTCCTGTTCTGGATATGCGCCAGCGGTGCTGCGATATTATTAGAATTTTATGTAACGTGAGAAACGCTTCGCGCATACGGGGAACGTTATCTCCCGCGAGTTAGCGAACGTCGCGATAAAAATAAATAAATGAAGAGATACTTGTCGCGGCTTGCATTATTTACAGGGACGGCGAAATAATTCCGCGTGGCGGAACTGCGTTCGTGAGGGACTTAATCGGGCCACGGCGATTCACCAAGTTATTAATTGCATAATTATTTAAATGCCGCGGCTGTGCGCGAGATGGTATAAATATCCATGTTATCCGCGGTTCGCTGCATATTGCTGTTAAGTAGATGAATTTTAATGTACGATTTGTTAGATTAAAGCGCCGTTTTCACCGCCTGGGACGCGCCGCGTAAAAATTTAATTCGCGAGGAGCACGGAATTTCATTGACGCGTCGGAATCGGACGCACTGCCGGCTGCAAGAGTCTTCGCTTGCGATAATTATCATCGTTATTTCCGGCGAAATCCATCTTCTACGCAAGTGAGCGAGATTGCATTTGAAAATTTAACTCGACGGCCGGAATTGTGCGTGCACGAGAGAGAGAGAGTTCCGCCGCATTGTCCGAATGGTACCTTTGAACATTTGATCGCTGCATATCGTATTTTCCGTGGCTTCTCTCAATAAAGCGGATAGTATCTGGAGTTTTTTAGTTGCTGGGCTGCACGGTAATCTCGCTAATGCAAACGAAATGGATTCAATCTGCCGCAAGTAGCTCCTCGCAGACGCAGATGGCTCCGTGAGATAACTTATTGCAGTCTCGAACTGAAAAAAGAAAAATTGCACGCGGCCGGGTTCGTTAACTTTTTGTTGTTGCGCTTACTTCGTTCACGATACATTCCAGTTTATCGGCCGATTCTGGATCGAGCGTATCGTAGAAGCAGTCTACAAATAAGCCTGGCCGTTCGATTATGCGTTTGGGCAGTTGCACGCCGATGTTCGACGTCATAATTTTGTTTGACATCGAGTGCTCTTTACATGGAGATCTTTTTCCACTGCTGGAATCCACCAAATCTGGAACAAACCGTGCGCGTTTCGTCACGAACGCGCGCGTGATAAAGTTAACTTTGCACTCGTTAAGCATGCGAGGAAATCGATTTCCGATGGCGTTGCGTAACTCGAAAATGCGCTCCATCGTGTAACATATTAGCTCGATCAATCAGGTGTGACACGCGGACGGACACGTGGATGATAAAAGAAAATGACTTCAATTATTCGACGTATATTCTCCAACGCGCACGCAGAGAATATTGCGCAGGCGACATTCTCTCCTCGACGAGGCAAATATTATCTCTCCTATTCTTAGACAGAAAATAACATTGAAACACTGTAATCAATCTTCGCAGAGATAGGAGAGAGCGTGGTGGAACTTGAGGGGAATTATTAGATCAAACATTCGGTTGAGTAGCAAAGTTTATCACGAAAGCGGAAACTTTACTGTCTAAAAATTATTATTGGACGCACGAGCTAGCATTTGCCGCCAGGCTTACGCTATAGGCTTCTCTATAGGTTTAGTACTCATGACTGTAAATTATTTACGACCATTGATCGAAAATGTACCAAATCAAAGTGAGCAAAAAATAAATCATTGACAGAATTTTATCGCAACGATATTTAATAACGTGTAACGCATTACGAGCAACTTTGACACTTTCATGCTTCTAAAATATTTTCGCAATATTTTGGAAGATCGGGTTATCAGATAATATTTGGGAAATATTGATAAAATATTAAACGGTGATGGAACACGCATGAGATCAATATTTCAAGATATTAATCCGATGTTTCTTGTTTACTGTGTAATGAATTACATATTTGTATATTCATGGACTATTCAGCCGCTGGAATTAATATTTTTTGCATCATAAAATAAGCACAGGTATAGACCGACAATCTGACCCTCATGAACCTATAATTATTTATCAAATGATAACGAGTTACAGAATGTAGGCTCGAATTTTAATTCGGGGTATCTTCTTATTCTCGGCAATTTTGTCAACTGTCTGTTAAAATCAAAAACGTCATATGTAATAAATGATTCGACGCGTTTGAAAATACATGATGTATCACTACCAGCATCCTGCTATCCTGCATTCTCCGTCCTGGCTTTTCAATTCAGCATCCTGTTCCCCGCTGCTCCATCATGGCACTCTGAACATTAGTTTGTGACACTGACGTTGTAGATATGACTCGATCAGAGAAACACGTGTTAATTAACGCGACGCTGAGAGAGAGAGAGAGAGAGAGAGAGAGAGAGAGAGAGAGAGAAAGAGAGAGAGAAAGAACTCGATTCAATATTTCAAAGGCCAACGATTTTAATCCTTCAATAGACGTATATGTGTGTATATGTATGTGAGAGAGAAAATAACACGTCACTCAATAAGTTCATAGGATGACATATAAATGGCGTTACTATTGACAAATCCATATGATTTTTAGGAAGTACTAACCTTCAAATGATACGTGTCAAAATTTTATGACAATCGGACGTTTAGTTCACAAGTTACAGTGGTTTTAGTGACGCACGACGTCGACTCATTTTAGCAACGCGTCGATTCAGCGGGCTGTTTGGAGCTGTTTCAGTGCAATAAAAAAGATTTTTTGATGTGGTATGTGACAATGGATGAAACATGGATCCATCACTACACTCCAGAGTCAAATCGGTAGAGAAAGCTCCAGGGAAAGAGATTTGGCTCCAATGAAGAAGTGATTGCCGAAACTGAAGCCTTGCTAAAACGAGTCGACGTCGTACGTCACTGAAACCACTGTAACTTGTGAACTAAACGTCCGATTGTCATGAAATTTTGACACGTATCATTTGAAGGTTAGTACTTCCTAAAAATCATATGGATTTGTCAATAGTAGCGCCATTTATATGTCATCCTACGAACTTATTGAGTGTTATTTACCCGTGTAGCGTGTAAGACTGTTAAATAATCGCTAGTTAAAAATATTGTAAATAAATAAATATATATATTGTTTATATTATGTTATAATATACATTATATTGTTTATGTGTTTGCGTTTTAAAAAAAATATATATATGTTGACAGTAGAAGGTTTTGAATTAACATCTTATATAGTTAAAATAAAGAATAAAGATTAAACGTAAGCAGAATAGGAATATACTTGAATATTAAATAATTACGAAAATTCTTCTTTAAGAATAATTTAATATGAAGAAAATTGTAGTTATCATTTGCAGTATCAAAATAGGGCAGTAATTTGCATAGTGTCATATCTAAGGATTCCATTATGTGTATCTTTTAAATTCCGCAGGATTTACGAGATTAATATCAAATTAAAATTTCGATTCGATAAGCACGCGTTACTTCCGATCTCATTGAATTAATTAGTGTTAATATAGGACTTGTAAAATGTTTACGCTGCGATCAACATGCCAGGACGTTGAAGTAAACAACAGGAACATTGCGCAATTTATAAGAAGCCACTGCTCACATTTGACTTTGGTTAAATTTATACAAAGATATAATAAATAGATACAGTCGAAATATCTTCGTAGATTTTATTTAAATTGATTCGAAATATTATAATTACGATATTATGATTAAAATATTATAATACTCTCACGAGGTTATAATTAGTTAGAAAAAGATTTTTAATAATCAGCAGTAACATGCAGGAATACTAAGAAAACATTGTAGTAACGTGTATAGAATAACTCGATGTCACTGAATGTAACATAAAATATTAATATTATAAAACAGAGTACGGTAAAAAGTCCGAAAAATTTCATAAATACATGTACGTATGATATATCAAGTACGATTTGATCCAACAAAGATAATGTGATTTTCAAAATAATAATAACACTCAAGCAGATCCGAAATCATTTTGGAAACAATTTCGGACGCGACGGCGAACACATCGGCAACTACCCCGCATAATTCTCGACTTTTCTAAATCGGTTTATGCGAGCGTAAAAGTAATTTCGGTATTTCGTGCGTACGATTATCCCATAGGAGCCATTGTGAGCAGTGCAAGCATCCCGAAATTTAAAGGGTAACTATCATATTTCATCTTTATCACATTTAAGCAAAAATATGCAGTCGTACATAACCTAATCGAATTTAACCTAAGCACGTATTCCCGATACCTATGAAATAAATTCTCTTGCTCGATCTGGCTTCCGAATTGCTGCCACGTTCTTCGCGTGGCTTGTTTCGTGGATCTTTCTTTTTGTTCTTACAGAAACCAAACCAAACATTTCCTCATGGAAGTCTATAATTTTAGACTAAATATCTTCTTATTCTTTCGTTAACTAGGAACATTATTTTCTGTTAAAGTTAAAATCTGGTAGAGTTTGCGATTGCACCTTGAATCCTTGAAGATGCAGCACCAGAGGATTCGGTTTGGACCAAGCGAGGTCGGCTCGAAGGTGAATTTATCGATTCATTACTTTATTCGTCCATTTAACCCTTTCGTGGTCGACAAGTGAGATGTGCTCGTTAGAATAACAATCGTTCAATTGTTACGGTTAAGAAATTTTATCTACGCGCTCCTGTTTTTTAAACTGAACTCTTAAATTTAATCGGCAAGGTTGCCTTTTTTTTTTGTTATAGAACTGAAAACAGAATATGGCCGACAGTTACGTGAGTAAAACGGTTACATGAGTAAGAAAATAGGTTACAAAAATACAAGGTAAAATGGATTATAAGGTGGTAGGTTTCGTTAAAATCGATGCGATTTGCATGTAGATTTTGCATGCTGGGTTTTTGCACATACTGCGCTGAGAAAAAGAAAATTTAGTTTCACTAGTTTATCGTTATTTTTAGTTCCCACGTTATTTTCTGGTCAATCTAACCAAAATGTGGACGACACAATGTAAATATATATAATATTATTATCTCTAATACTAGCAGCAATTGTTTCTAATGTTGTTTTTCGCATTATTAAATAAATTTATTTTGCGAATACAAAGAATTCTCTACACAAAAACACTTTTTTTTCTCAGTACCTTTATATATGTGCCAGTATGTGTCTTTGCATGAATTATATTGCTGTTAGCAATTAAGGGATCATCTTTTCAAACGCTTGTATTATCTGATACTAATATCAATTATCGAGTTATTTTATTAATACATATAAACTTGAATTTGAGTAAATACGTTTATATAAACGTAATAATTCTGCTGTTTACTGCCGAATTGAGTTCGGGCTGCAAAATTATTCAACAAAGTTATTCACTCTGTGCGATCCCCTAATTGTTTTGAACAGTAAAGTATTATGTGCATCAGAATTGCACCATCACCCGCGGGCGCGTTATTATTTTGCTCGCGCTGATAGAATTCGCGATTACATCGCGTTAGCTTTTTTATATTTTTCATACATTGTTATTATAAGGAAGAATTTAATTGAATACAATTCGCTAAAATTTCGCGAAATATCGCGAAACATCGCGTAGCAATTTGGCTTAACAATTTTGCGACTGACTTTGCAATCGGTACGTTCAATTTTCAACTTTCGATTTGTTACTCACGATTCGCAAGTCACGTCAGTATATTTTTGAAACGACGAAATTTATCGTACTGCGAGCGTGCGTTACCAAAAAGTGAAATTTAGCCGTGCCGCAATATACATCTGTCAAGTAAATACGGGAATTTTGATTTAGTATTTCATTGATTAAATACATAGCTTTCGTTTAGAAATAAATCCAGATTATCGCGATATTTAGTTTGCCGATTTTTTGTGCCGTTCGCGATGCTTTTTACAAACGATTTTCGCTACTTTGCGTCAAATTGAATTTGGCGAATTACACGAACACGAGCCGCGCAAAAACATTGCGGACTAGACTTCGCAAAAATATTGCGGAGTTATATTAGAGAGTAACCCGAACTCCCTGAACTGACTTTTAGGATGGCTGTTGCCAAGCCATCGTACGTGAAATTTTCACGCCATTGCCGACTACTTCGTGCGCGTACCGTGATT